ATAGAGTGGGGCAGTCCGGTAAATACTGAAAGGTGATCCTCCTCTTGGATTCCTTTTGGGGGACTGATCCTGAATAGGAGGTGGTGGAAGCATACTACTGTTTGACTCGTATTCCGCAAACCCTTTCACGTCCCTCTCCCTCTCCCTACCAGGTCTTGTTGGAGTTGGAGGACTGGTGAGGGGAGTGGATAGCGCGTGTGAATGCTACAGCATGCATCAGGGGGGCTGTGCAGTGAGCATCCCGGGGAGCGGGGCAGCCGCGATGTCACCCCCTGGATGGAACCTGTGGCAGCCGCCCCCCGCCTGCCCCCACCTTCGCCCACCAGTGACTAGGGCCTGTACACACTTCTACATGTATGCACTTAATTTCTGCATTTAAAAAACCTCTCAAAACAAAGCAAAAACAGTTCATTGCCTAGTCCAGTGATGCTGCCAAATTCTGCATGTCAAGTGCTCTGAAAGCGAAGCTGGAAAAGCAACCCCCCCTTTCATCACCCACTTCCTTATTTAGCTGCATCACTTGGTACTATTCCTCCCACCCCTCAAACAAGATGTATGACTGCATTCTCAAATTGTGAAAATGTTGGGGACTTATGGGATCTAGGAAAGGGGATATTTGAGGAATTTCATTGATAAACTTACCACAGTAGCTTTCGAAACTCTGTCCAGCCAGCAGCCACTAGACTAATTTTTCACAAAATACATTGGTAGGCACAAATAAATGGCAACCCCTTCTTCTTCAGCCGCCCATTTCTTAAGAAAATATTGCAAAGCTTTCAGAACACTATTTTCCCGTAACTGTTAAAAGAAGCCCCTCTTTCATTTACCAACAGGCCCAACCTCTTTCTCTATGCAATGACAAATGCTCTTTGGGTTACAGTAGAAAGAAGAAAGAGGGAAAGCCACCTTGTTGCTATGATTGTCTTCCATGTCCAGAAGGAAAGGTATCAAACCAGATAGGTAAGAATTGATTTTTTTTTTTTTATGGAATATGTCAAGTATTTGGGCATACAGTTGTATTAGAAATTCATTTCACTCAGGTCTAAAAATTCATTCAAAGTGGGAAAATTATTAGAGGCAATACAGAAAATATGGTTGTTTCAGAATGGCCAGGGATGACATAAATGGATACCCATAATTTGGGAATTATTTGTGTGCGTAGTAAGGTTGACCAAAATGCTCATATCAGCCATCTCTCTCTGTGTTTGGTGACTATAAAGAGTATATAATGTTGATTACATATAACAATGTCTGGATGTGCTGGTAAGAATCTGCATGCAGACTTTATAAGGTCTAAAGTTGAAGTGGACTTATTTCTGGTTATCTATTTGTATGCTATATTGTTACGGAAAGGAGAATATACATTTTACATATTTGGGTCTTTCTGGTGGTTTAATTATTTTTTGGGAGATCCTTTTTGTGTTTAGGAATTATATCTACAGTCTATCTATATACATACACATTATAGGTGTTCAAAAGCCCAAGGTGGTTGAATGTGCATGTGTACTCCATTTCCCTCCCTCCCTCCCACCCCCTCCATGCTGCCCCGGGTGCTGGCAACCCCTGCTATGCCACTGAAGCACATTGAGTCAAATGCACCTGGAATACCCCTTTGCTGCTTCAATATATGATGTAACAGTGAGTGGGCATGGTCAACATGCACAGGGATATGGGAGATGGGACCAGTGCATTCATGACCAGTCCCCTACATATTTTAAGCCCATAACTACATCTGTAAGGAGACATTGCATGTTAGGAAATCGACTCTAATTATGAAACAAATGTCATCATTTGTATGCTAGGCCTGAAGAGACAGAAGAACATGCACTGACTTTGTTTTACTTTTCTTTTTCAGACATGGACGTCTGCTTTCAGTGTCAAGAAGATCATTATCCAAATAATAACAAAACTTTTTGCATTCCAAAATATATAACTTTCTTGTCCTATGAAGAATCTTTAGGCTACAGCATTGCCATTTCTGCCCTCACTTTTTCTTTCTCCACAGTTTGGGTGCTTTGGATCTTTGTTAAGCACCGAAACACTCCCATCGTCAAAGCCAACAACCGGAACCTCACCTACACTCTCCTCATCTCCCTCATTCTCTCTTTCCTTTGTGCTTTGCTATTTATTGGCCAACCTGGAAAGCTGACCTGCCTCCTTAGACAAGCTGCATTTGGCATCATCTTCTCAGTGTCAATTTCTTGCATCTTGGCCAAAACTGTCATTGTGATTCTCGCTTTCATGGCCACCAAGCCAGGATCCAATATGAGGACATGGATGGGGAAAGATCTGGCCAGCTCCATTGTTCTATGCTTCTCCTTTATTCAAGCCACCATTTGCACAGTGTGGCTGGTAACTTCTCCTCCATTCCCAGATATGGACATGCACTCCATGACTAAAGAAATTATACTGGAGTGTAATGAAGGTTCCACTATCATGTTCTACTCAGTCCTGGGCTTTATGGGCTTCCTGGCCATTGTCAGCTTTGCTGTGGCCTTCCTAGCCAGGAAGTTGCCTGACAGCTTCAATGAAGCCAAGTTCATCACCTTCAGCATGATGGTGTTCTGCAGTGTTTGGTTGTCTTTTATTCCAACCTACCTGAGCACCAAGGGGAAGTACATGGTGGCTGTGGAGATCTTCTCTATCTTAGCCTCCAGCTTGGGGCTACTGGGTTGCATCTTTTCCCCAAAATGTTACATCATTTTGATGAGACCAGAACTGAACAACAAAGAACAACTTATGAGGAAAAAAGTAAAGAACTTTAAGCCCAAATAGTCTCAAGCCAGCTCTTTGAATCAAATTTACGATTCAAGTCTATTTTCAATGTAAACCTAATCACACCTGTAGGGGAATCATGTTGAACTCAAAGTAATTTACTTCCTATTAAACATAGGTTGAAATGGTGCATTCCCTTGTAGTAAATGGCACTTTATTGTTGATTCAGTTATTTCCATTGAAAATCATGATTAATTTTAATTGCACTGGGAGCTAAGTTTCCTTCCTTCCTTCCTTCCTTCCTTCCTTCCTTCCTTCCTTTCTTTCTTTCTTAATTTGGTGACTTAGTGACTTAGTCCACCTTTCATCCGTTGATGACAGGGTGGGATAAAGGTTGGTTGGCATCCATCTCTTTGAGAGACAATAGGGAGTGCATCCAGAGGTGAAATCAAACCACTGCGTTAGCAGCACCAAAACGACTTACCTGGGGCATGAACCTGAATGGTGTGCATGGGGTGTCAGGGACGAACCAGAGGTCTCAAGTTCCCCAGAGGGAGGGGGAAGCCTGGGAGCAGAAGATGTGGACGAGGTGACTGAGGGGGAGGGAGGCAAGGAAGAGAGAGAGATTGGAATAAGCCCAGGAACTTTCCGTCTCTACAGCCCTTCCTGCTTAGGGCAAACCTCTTACATCTGTTGTCAATAAAGTTGTGGTCTGATTTCACAAAAATATTGGTTGTCATGTCTCTTATTCTTAGAATTGGGGAGGACAGAAGAGTGTGGAGGGGATGCCTTGCTACACAAGCATATATTTCCCACAAAAGAGACACAAACCTTTTGATTCCTGGGAGGTCACCTGAGTATCAATCTGTACAGCAATGTGATCCTTCAGGAGTAAAATTATACCCTGATAAAACTGAACTTCAACTTCCTAGTCAACTATACTTGTTGTTTTGCTGTTGGCTTTTATTTTAATCTCTACATCAACACTCAGCCTAGGCCAGACCAGTGTCAGTCTTAAAAACTTGGGCTCCTATCACACTAAGCTTTCAGTCATGTCTCCGTAGCACAGCAATGCAGATCTATGAGCAGCAAAAAAACACTCTATTTTAATAGTTATAAGGTTTTTCTGTCCTTATATTGTCTATATGCTCTATTCATGAATATAGTCAATAAGTTGTTCATTTTTCACACTCCCACCACACATGAAGGAAGGTGTCCTTGTGACTGCAAGCTCTCAAGTACAATGGTGGGGTGTCACACAGTAATGTTTTTGAAAATAATCAGCGTCTTGGTATTTTCTCACGCCAGTGTGGTGTAGTGGTTAAGAGCGGTGGACTCGTAATCTGGTGAACCGGCTTCACTTCCCCGCTCCTCCACATGCAGCTGCTGGGTGACCTTGGGCTAGTCACACTTCTCTGAAGTCTCTCAGCCTCACTCACCTCACAGAGTGTTTGTTGTGGGGGAGGAAGGGAAAGAAGAATGTTAGCTGCTTTGAGACTCCTTCGGGTAGTGATAAAGCAGGATATCAAATCCAAACTCCTCCTCCTCCTCCTCCTCTTCTATATGTCTCTGTTAGGGTGTTTGGGGGTATGAGAATGTACTGAAATCTTGTAAAGAACACGCAGCAGCAGCAACAACAACCCTGGGATTTTGTGCAGGCTTTCCCTGATCCATAAGATGAAAGCCTGTCTCATCTGTAGGAATTCTTGTTCCCACAGAATCATAGAGTTGGAAAAGACCATGAGGATAAGCTAGTCCAACCACTGCAATGCAGGAATCTTATGCCCAAAGTGGGGTTGAACCCATGACCCTGAGGTTATAAGTCTCATGCCCTACAAACTGAGCATAGAGTTGAACTCTGGAAGTCTAATGATTAAGTGAGAATGTATCCAGCTAGCTCTGTCATGAGGTGTTCAGCATAGATCACATGAAAAAGGATACAATTACAGATCTGTTTTTATATGCAGTTTTGTTATTAGTTATAAATTTTCCTCAGTGATATAGGTTTTATATATATATATTGTACACCACTTAATAATCTCAATAAAGGTACAATAAACTCCACCCTACAAGGGTTTTGCTGTAAGGAAAATTTTGTGGCATGGTAAACATTTTAAATCGCCATTTCAACTCTTTCTTTCTTTGATGCATGTGAGGAGAGTAGATCAAAGGTTTCAGCAGGATAGCACAGAATCATGCTTTGTATAAAGCCACATATGAGTTTATCTGATATTTTAGAGGAAACAAAAATAGAAATGAAGGAAATAGGTTGAATATTTGGAACGTTAATGTTTTCTCCGTATTAACTGCTCCTTTTTGTTCAGATCAGGCCTAAAAACAATAATGTAGCATTTAGGAGCAAAGATACAGCTCAGTAAACCTGAGCCAGATGACAGGATGGAGAAGACCTCCACGGCCACCATGTATTTCCCCTTGGTGCTCAGGTAAGTTGGAACAAAGGAGAGCCACACACTGCAGAAGACCAACATGCTGAAAGTGATGAACTTGGCTTCATTGAAACTGTCTGGCAGCTTCCTAGCAAGGAAAGCCACCGTGAAGCTGACAGTGGCTAGAAAGCCCATATAACCCAGGACACAGTAGAACATGGTGACTGACCCTTCATTACATTCAATTATGATTTCTCCATACACTGAGTGACTGTCCAAATCTGGGAATGGGGGAGAAAAACCCAGCCAAAGAGCACAAACGGCGACTTGAACGAGGGAGCAACACAATACGACAGAATGTGCCAATCTTTTCCCCACCCATTTCCGGAAAATGTTTCCTGGCTTGGAGGCCATGAAAGCCACAACCACTGTAATTGTCTTAGCCAAAACGGAAGAGACAGCAATCGAAAAGATGATGCCAAAAGCTGTTTGTCTGAGGAGGCAGGTGATTTTCTTGGGTTGTCCGATGAATAGCAAAGCGCAGAGGAAGCAGAGGAGGAGAGAGGCAAGGAGAAGGTAGGTGAGGCTCTGATTGTTGGCTTTGACGATGGGAGTGTCCCGCTGCTTGATGAAGACTGCCAGCACCAGAGCTGTGATCAGGGCAAAGAGAAGAGCCAGGGAAGTCAAAGCAATGCCCAAAGTATCTTCAAAAGAAAGAAAACTTTGAATCTTGGCGATGCAGTGATCTCTACGATTATTAGGGAAGTGATCTTCGGGGCATCTGGTACAGTAATCCATGTCTGTAAGAGAAATATAATATGCACACGGTAAAGATGTCCATAATTGTTCTCTCTTATAAGAGCCACTTTTCTAAAAATCCACCTAAATCCAATGTTTAAATCTTCTGGATTCAGCATTGTCCACCAGTGACCTTTATCCAGCACTGAAGTGAGAAAATAAATCTTTTGGGTGAATGGACATCAAAATGGCAAATGAAATTCAGCATTAGCAGGTGTAAACTGCAGCAAAAATCCTAATTTCACATATCCAGAAATTCAGTCTGATCTGGTGGTTATTGACTAGTAGTGAGATCTTTAAATTGTGGAGGATAGCTTGATGAAGAATCTAGCCTAGTATGTGACAGCTGTGTGTTAAGGAGTGTTAGGGAAATTATTAGGGGGAAACCAGTTAGCGTCATTATATAAATCTATAGAGTGACCACTCTTGGAATACTAAAGTGGTGCTGGAAAAGTTTCTGAAAGGGGCAAGAAAAATGTTCAGAGGGTTGGAACAACTCCTTTTTGAGGAATGTTACAATTGCAGCTTTTAACTTCAAAGAAAAAAAGACATGGGAAGAAGGACACTAGAGTGTTTGGATTATGCATGGTGTGAAGATTTGGAAGCGCACTGTGTTTACCTGTTAGGTTTCTTTGCAGGTAGTTATATTATTATTGTTGAGTTATTGGGTTTGTGTGTGTAATTTTTTTATCATTTTTTTGAAGGTGGGAATAAAAAAAAATATTTAAATGAGTACAAAACATAAAGCAAGGTCAAGGATTGTTAAAGATAAATACTCTACAACTATGCAACCCATTGGAAGAATTGTACAGAGAAATAAACAAAATCTATCTTGTTGACAATTTCTAATTAATAATCAATATTCTTGCATGCTCCAGGCTATTGTTTACTCCCTCCCAAACTAGACGTTATTACTCTAACCACAAACGAGAATATTCTGCAAGTGGCAGCAGCTAAATCTGAAGATTCAGAAATGGTGCTTGTTTACACATATATGTTCTACTACTATCCATACTTTTCATGACAAACGTATTTCTTAGAAATATTTCTCCTACCCTCCTGGTTCGAAATCATATCTTCTGGACATGGAGAACAGTCATAGCAACAAAATTTCTTTCCCTCCTTTTTTTTCCTGCTGAACCCAGGATAGCACTGATCATTACATAAAGAGAATGGAGGTACCTATTCTTGAACAAAGGGAGGATTTAGCATTAATTGTTTGGATTTCCTTTCTCTTCCAAATAATAAGCGATAAACAAAGGGCTGATGAAATGAAATATTAATATCTGTGATTGCACAAATGGCAAATTCAGTGTAAGGAATGCTGTACCAAGTCTTAAGGTGGGGGTGGGTCTACTCCACCACAATGTAGGAGGAAATCTGATGCTGCCTCAGCCATCCAGTTACTATGAAAGTTATCATAAAGTGAGAATTTTCCACACCTGAGACAATTCTCTGTGCCATTCAAGTCTCTCTTCATTAATAGTGAGCACTTCACCAGGGGGAGCCTGAGGGTCCAGCCTTCCCACTTTGACTTTGACATAAGAGTTATTTGGGAAGGTGACCAAGCTGGTAATGTCAAATCCAGCTACTATTTCTCTGTGTTCATTAAACATAATTTCATCACCAGCAGTGTTGTTGAATAGAATGTCTTTAAACAATGAATGACTCTGGATGGGGAGAGAAAAAGAACTGAGAAGAAGAAGAAGGGCTTGGATTTGATATCCCGCTTTATCACTACCCTAAGGAGACTCAAAGTGACTAACAATCTCCTTTCCCTTCCTCCCCCACAACAAACACTCTGTGAGGTGAGTGGGGCTGAGAGACTTCAGAGAAGTGTGACTGGCCCAAGGTCACCCAGCAGCTGCAGGTGGAGGAGCGGAGACGCGAACCCGGTTCCCCAGATTACGAGACTACCGCTCTTAACCACTACACCACACTGGCATGAGAAAATACCAAGACGTCGATTATTTTCAAAAACATTACTCTGGACACCCCGCCACTGTACGAGAGCTTGCAGTCACAAGGACACTTTCCTTCATGTGTGGTGGGAGTGTGAAAAATGAACAACATTGACTATATTCATGAATATTTCTTCAATAACAAGCCGGTCTATAGTCCTGCACTTGGCTGTTAAAAGTGATCTAAATTTCACAGTTGCTTAGAAGGAGCTGCTAACTCTGCTGCTGGCTGCAGTCAGACTTGAAACTGGAAGTCTACATTGGGTTCCTTCCAGGAATGAATGGATACAGACATTAACCCATCACAGCAGGTTTCTGATGCTGTTTGGGTCTATGTTGTACATAACTTTCATGATAAAAAGTGTTCTATTCTGTATTTCATACCACATTGTTCCACCAATCAGTTATATGTATGCAACTGTTTTTCAGTTAAAGGGTTATGGTAAGGGACAGGATCTCACTTATGGTACCAAGTGTGAGGTGCAACATGTGAACCCATGTCACTTCACCAAAAGTGGCAAAATCTTCCATCACCCTCCCCCAAAACTCCACTCTCCCTGAAAATATTTTTTTTATATAAAAACAAAACAAAAACCTACCCTAAATATTTCTAGGGAGGATTGAAATTGATGAGCAGGACCAAGGGTTTAGACACATGTTCTAAATGGATTTCAGAGGCATTACCTTCCAGGGTTCCACTTTCCAAGGATGCAGCTTGCCTCCATTTTCCATTTGTCTGTAATTTAATCTGTATGAACGCATGATCTGTAAAGCATGTGCCACAGCATAGACAGCATTATAGATACTGTAGCTGTGACCTGTCATGCTTAATTGAAAAAATTGCCCAGGAAGGCTCTCCAGCTTCTCCTCACCACTACATGCTCCATCAATATCTGTGAAGCCGTCAGAACTTGGAACAAAGCAGTCAAATGCTTGTTCCCAGAAATCTTTGACAAAACCATCTCCTTTGGCTTGAGTAGGTTTTAAAGTTTGAATATATTTTCGGAATCCTTGAACCTCATTTGAAGGAATTGTGAAAGAAATAGCACCATGGAACATTTGGATATCCCAGGTTTTTTGTAATATAAAGAGTGCAAAATCAATCTGGGCTGTTGTGATCCATACTTTCCCAAAAGATGCAGTCTCATTGTACTGAGACTCAGCTGCTAGAGACTTCTTTACCCCCAAGATAATGGCTGCCAACCATCTAATATTTGCAGTTTCTCCATATAGAACAATCACATTGGCTTTGCTGTTCTTGAAAACTGGCACGCTCTTCATAATGTATTTGTTCATTTCACCCATTTCCAATATTCTCATATAAATTGGAACTTTATTTGTGAAGGCTGAACAGATTCCATTCTTGGAAAGGATTGCTTCCATGACCTGCAAGAAATGTTCTCCACCAGCATCATCAAAAGTCATCAGCCCAACCCATTTCCATCTAAAATGCACTAGTAGCTCAACAATTCCTTGGTACTGGAGGGCTTCATTGGGGACCATGCGGTAAAAGGAAGGGAAAGCTACTTGATCATTCATTGCTGGTTGAAATGAGCCATATGAAAACTAGAACAAAGAAAGAAACAGATTTTAACTGTAATAGCATCCTGAAGAATGAGCCAGGTTGTATTTTCCCTCTGCCTCTTTTCCACAGCAAACTATTGGTCCAAAGAAGCAAGACAATATCCATCCCAACACCAGATCTAAAACCTGGACGATATCATTTAATTGGATCTGTTCCTGGAAGTCACAGTCCTCTGCCAAGAAATTGAGGCACAAACAAAAGTATGGGTGTGCCCTTAGACCCCTTCCAGGAAAAGAAGAAGATTTTATTATCCCCTATGAATGCAACACATTGATCCTACCTGTGGAATCTTGTAAAGTCCTAAAATATCTGCCATCTGTGAGGATGTATCAGATCTAAGTCCACCAATGATGCTCATTAGATGTGCCTGGGTGTCACATTTGTAGTTGGGGGAAAACTGATGGAATTTGAAAATAAGATCCAGTGTGGTGCGGTAGGTCATCCTTGCATCATAGTAGCTATCATAGATGTGGAACCCAAGAGTGACATTGGGCAAGATGTTGGAATTCTCGTTGATCTCATGTACAGCAAATGCCAAGGCCAGGATGTGCTGGTAGAATTTTGGCACCATCCTGGAAACAGATTTACAAGCTTTTCTTAGGAGAAAAATCAACAGTACATTAAAATAGGGTTCCACTCTGGTTTTAAGATAATTTAGCTGTCCAGTGAAAAGGAAAAGCTAGAGTTCCCAGAAGATGGTTGTGGTAAATACATTTTGTTGGACAGAAAATGAAATTGACATTGGCTCACTTTTACTGGATTGCTTTCTTTATTATTTATTTTAATACAGCACTTACCCTCTGAAGATCTTGAAGTGTTTTGTTTTTTTAAAAAAATGACCCACTATTCCACCATGTAGCCCAAAGCTTCCAAACAAAAATATGGCAAGCCAAAGGCTTACACCGCCTAACAGACTTCTACAAAAATGAAAAACCCATACCAACACAAGAAATACAAGACAAACTAGCAGACACTCAAATACCCTAGCTGACCCAGCAACAACTACACGGCTTCTTAAATAATCCACCAATCATAGCAGCAGCCATTAGGCCTCTGACAACCTTTGAAAAACTTCTCCTGACAACAGAGGGACACAGCAAGGGGATGGTATCCACACTATACAAAAGACAACTCCAAGATCCCTCACCCTGCCAGGGAAGAAGGGATGAGTGAAGATCTGCACCAGGAACAAGTGGGGAATAAATATCTACATCAGGATCTTCTGCCACTGTGGATCCTGCCATCTGAGGAAGTTACCTCACCTTGCCTCATGGGTGGAAAGCTGACACAAACATCAGCCTCACACTCAAGTGGTCCTGAAGGGCACCATAAACTCAAGTTGTTGCAGCCAATCAGCAGCTATGCTCTTCTTCTCCACCAGCAATTTCAGTAAAGGGAAGGGTTGTGGCAATCCAATGTATGTTTGCCCAGACAAAAACTGATAGAAGAAGTTAACAAAAGTTACAGACTGATTTTTAAAGCACTTCTTTAACTTCATATATTTACTGAGATATTTCCAGGTAGGGAAAAATGGAGATCTCTTAAAAAGCAGCACATTGTTCATCATTGACCTGTTTTGTATAAATTTTAAAAAGAGAGAGTAACAAGCCAATAAGGAAAAAAAACATGCTGCTTCTTTGCTTAAATGGGAAGCCTCAGCAAGCAAGCCTATCACCTCAGCTGAGTGAAATCATCTCAAAATATTTTAATGATTCAAATGGGTTTTTAGAACAATGAAATATCTAGTTAATGTCTTCTGGTCCTTAGGAACATTCACTCAGTCACAACAATTGATACTGTTCAATATAAACCAACCTTTGGTGATTCTAAAAGGATATAAACACCAAAATAAAAGCAACGCTCACTTTTATGGTGTGTGGGAAAAATAATTTCTTACAGTTGGACACCAATCTCCTCCTCCAAAGGGTGTTTCAGGAAATCGACATCAGTTAAAAGGAAGTAGATATGAGACATTATTCCTCCAATGTGGATTTCACTTGACTGGTACCATTCATGCGGAATATGTACTGGATCATTCCCAGTGCAGTTGAAATTTTCTACTTTGCAAGCCGTATGTGGTAGCAACAGCAAGAACAACATCTCAAATCTCATCCTGATGGTCATAGGAAGCTCTGAACTGAGATTTCTTTCTGATGCTCTAGGGTATAGTTATTATTGCCAACTTGGATTGAACAAATTAGCTCTGCTGCCGGTATCTTTCGAAAATACACTTTTAGGGACCTGTATCTCGTATCTACCTTGCATTTATCATCAAGAGGGTGAATGTCCCTTCACATCAATTGCAAGACAATAATCTGACTCTTGACCTGTTAGATCTCAAGCCTTGCCTCTCTCCAATCCCCCTACCTGTAGCTGGCAATTTTACAGTGGGGTAATATAAAATCCTTCTAGGCATGCTTATTTTCTGCACCACCACCCCACTGAAAAGTCCCTGCAGAGTTGGCCAGCTGAATAAAATACAGTAATTTGGGTAATTACAGGGTGGCATCACTAGCTGCTGATTCAAACATGTTTGTGAGATTTCAAATCAAACTTCTTCAGCTCTCTAGTTGGTCTTCAGCTGAGTGGTGACTAGAAAGTGACCCACAGTGACCACAAGGATAGAACATGTCTGGATACAGGGATATTAGATATGTCAAAGTTACAGTTGAACTCCTGCTCTCCAATGGCATTAAGGCAAATAACAAAGCCCCCTTGGTGGTGTGTCATTTCCCACACACCCTGCCCTGTCCCTTGTCCTCAATTTCCACTGGTTATCACAAGATAATTCCTCATATCAAAATAATATGTATTTTGGAGTGATATATGATCACTGTACTCCTCTAGGCTTTTATTAGTAGATTTTGTACTTATAAAAGTACATGGAATGTGAGCTATAAGCTATGAGCCAAGGGAGCTATGATTTTGAGAATGTATATGAGCACAAGTAACAAAATAGCAACCATTGTATGCTTCACATGATACAAAATGGCTTCCAATAGAGGGCTGGCATGACATGAAATGGCTGTTGTGGCTCTAAAGCACAAGTGAAATTTTGTAGTTAAAGACTCACATATACATAAAAAATAGGAATGGGGAAATAAGGACACTATGGATTAGTCTGTTCAACATTTTACTTTCAAATTCTACAATTTACTATACTTCACCAAGAAAACAGGAACAAAATTCAATACTGAGGAAGGCATTACTCAAAAAGGCATATGAAGGTTTCATTCTACTTAAATTTCAACGGCTGTTTGTTTTGTGTATGTGAGAAGAATGCTTCAGATATTTCAAAAGGGCGGTCCAAAATTAGACATTGCACAGGGAAGCTGACTTTCACAGAAAATAAATAAAAATGAAGAAAATGATCTGAATATTTGAAACATTAATGTTTCTTCCTTATTAGCTGCTCCTTTTTGTTCAGATCAGGCCTAAAAACAATAATGTAGCATTTAGGAGTAAAGATACAGCTCAGTAAACCTGAGCCAGATGACAGGATGGAGAAGACCTCCACGGCCACCATGTATTTCCCCTTGGTGCTCAGGTAAGTTGGAACAAAGGAGAGCCACACACTGCAGAAGACCAACATGCTGAAAGTGATGAACTTGGCTTCATTGAAACTGTCTGGCAGCTTCCTAGCAAGGAAAGCCACCGTGAAGCTGACAGTGGCTAGAAAGCCCATATAACCCAGGACACAGTAGAACATGGTGACTGACCCTTCATTACATTCAGTTATGATTTCTCCATACACTGAGTGACTGTCCAAATCTGGGAATGGGGGAGAAAAACCCAGCCAAAGAGCACAAATGGCGACTTGAACGAGGGAGCAACACAATACGACAGAATGTGCCAATCTTTTCCCCACCCATTTCCGGAAAATGTTTCCTGGCTTGGAGGCCATGAAAGCCACAACCACTGTAATCGTCTTAGCCAAAACGGAAGAGACAGCAATCGAAAAGATGATGCCAAAAGCTGTTTGTCTGAGGAGGCAGGTGATTTTCTTGGGTTGTCCGATGAATAGCAAAGCGCAGAGGAAGCAAAGGAGGAGAGAGGCCAGGAGAAGGTAGGTGAGGCTCCGATTGTTGGCTTTGACGATGGGAGTGTCCTGCTGCTTGATGAAGACTGCCAGCACCAGAGCTGTGATCAGGGCAAAGAGAAGAGCCAGAGAAGTCAAAGTAATGCCCAAAGTATCTTCAAAAGAAAGAAAACTTTGAATCTTGGGGATGCAGTGATCTCTACGATGATTAGGGAAGTGATCTTCGGGGCATCTGGTACAGTAATCCAAATCTGGAAGAAAAAGATATGTATATATATGTATATATATGTATATGTGTGTGTGTGTGTGTGTGTGTGTGTGTGTGTGTGTTTATATATATATAAAAGATAACATCAGTAATCAGAACCAAGTTTCTATGAGTCCACCTAAATCGGTATTTGCAGTCTTGGTAATTGTTTCCAGGGATTAATTCTAATTCATTCTGCATAAGAAACATGTGGTTTGTCAGGGTTCTTTAACCCTACTGAGTAAAGAAAGACTTGTGGTGTGGCAGGCTATTTGGAGATAGGGAAAATGGGTTGATTTCAATTGAGATTTCCCGAGCCTTCTCTTCCCTTTTACAGTATATAACATACAATATATATATAGACATATAACTATTACTATTCCCCATCTTTGTCAGTGCTTTAGGCAGCGTCAAAAGCTCACTAGACCCCTTGCCTGGCTCTTTTGCATTAATTCAGCCAAAGTGATCCAGCTTTCTATTGTGGAGATCTATGATTTTCTCCCTTCCCCCTTCTTTTTGGTAGAGTTCCAAGATTTCAACAAATGATCAATTGTTTCAAACATGATTAAAGGGTCATACAATATGCTGTTGGGTTTTTTTGCCAAAGCAACTTCTCCATCTCCTTCCCATCCATAAAAACACTATTGAAAATAATCTACAGGCTAAATCTCATGCATCCACCTCCAAAAACTGTCTATACTTTTCATTAGAAATATTTAAACATGTCTCCTACCTTCCTGTGTTGAGATTATTTCCTCTGGGCATGGATAGCAGTCGTAGCAACAAAATTTCATCCCCTCCTTCTTTTTTCTGCTGTACCCAGGATAGCATTTATCATTGCATAAGGAGAATGGAGGCACCTATACATTGATGAAGGAATAATTTTCCATGGAATTAATTGTTTTCATTTTACAAAGAAGGGTTGATTAATTTTAAACATTAACATATGTCAGTGTTTCCCAACCTTGGGCCTCCAGCTGTTTTTGGACTACAACTCCCATCATCCCTAGCTAGCAAGACCAGTGGTCAGGGATGATGGGAATTGTAGTTCAAAAACAGCTGGAGGCCCAAGGTTGGGAAACACTGACATATGTGACTACAGAGACAGTGCAGAGAGTGTGGGCAATGCTTACTATTGGAATAAGAGGAAAACATCATAAAGAAATCTCTGCCCATGGCAAACCCTGTACTATATTTTTTTCAATAACTAGAAAGTACCAAAGGGGGGGGGGATTAGAAATAGCAAGATAAGATGGGCTAAAATATCTACAGTCTCTTAGTGACCAGCACCAATCTTCTGCAGTGGCTTCCTGTTTGCTACAAAGCCAGGTTCAAAATCTAGGTCTAGGGACTTCCTGAACAAATATATCCCAGCTCAGAGTCTTTCAGAAGTCCCAGTTCTCAGCTTGATAACACAGTAAGAATAGGTAATTAAAAAGGAGGATTTATTGCAAAAACAAACAGATAGCTCCGGATGGCTCTAACAAAGCCTCCGGCATCATTACTCAATATGACCCTTCTGAAGACTCCTTCCTATGACGACAGAAGATATTGAACTCATGAACCTTACGTCTCTTGTTTTGCTTCCTGTCTAACAGCCCATCCCTTCACCGATTCTCCACACTTATTGGATTAGCTCTAGCCTCTTCCTTTTCTGACAGGCTACCCATGTCTCTATTCACTCCTGTTTGAATTTCCTGAGAGCTTTGGCTGCGCTCCAATGCTCAGAGGAGTCAAATCTGAGCCTCTCTGTTCTGCCGCAGGCTCTAATGTTCCACTAGGACAGTGTTTCCCAACCTTGGGCCTCCAGCTGTTTTTGAACTACAATTCCCATCATCCCTGACCACTGGTCTTGCTAGCTAGAGATGATGGGAGTTGTAGTCCAAAACAGCTGGAGGCCCAAGGTTGGGAAACACTGCACTAGGAGCTGGCGCATTCCTGACAGTGTCACTGGTTGTCCCCCACATTGATTCAGTTGACACTGACAAGAAATTGAGTGCCATTGGCTCAGCCTTGTAGAACACTCTTCCAATGGAGATTCAGAATGCAGCTTCTATATTGACCTTTAAATGCATACTGAAAACTTTAATCGGACGCTTTCTGTAATGGTTTCTGATCTGATGATGGTGGTGGCATGATGGTTCTTATTCTGCATATATAATTCTGTATATATAAACTTCAGTTCTTTTCAATGAAATTGAGGTGTACAGTGGTACCTTGGGTTAAAAACTTAATTCGTTCTGGAGGTCTGTTCTTAACCTGAAACTGTTCTTAACCTGAGGTACCACTTTAGCTAATGGGGCCTCCCGTTGCCACCAGAGCACGATTTCTGGTCTCATCCTGAAGCAAAGTTCTTAACCCAAGGTACTATTTCTGGGTTAGTGGAGTCTGCAACCTGAAGCGTCTGTAACCCGAGGTACCACTGTACAAGCATTTTAATAAATAATTAAAGAGTTTTCACAATGAATTTTTTCCTTAGGGTGGCATTTCTCTAGTAATGATATCACTCATTATATATCTGTGTGTGTGCTTGTGTATAATTGTAGGCTGCCTTTTTCTATTAAAAAAAAAAAAACCAGCAAGGTGATGGACAGCATACAAAATTACTCTAAGTTCAAAAACAAACCAACAAATTACCACCCTTATTCAAGATACATTGTTATTTATTAATTGGAATAATGTGCTAATATTATGCCAAGCCAATGAATGTCATTGATTGTATGAAACAAAATTTGTATCCATTTATTTTAAATGGATGCCAGCCCATGGATGGATATCAATGGTATCATACGAGATGCTCTGCCAATGCTCTGCACCTGAGACAAGTCTCTGTGCCACTCAAGTTTCTCTTCTTTGATGGTGAGTGCTTTGTCCGGAGCAGCCTGAGGATCCAGCCTTCCCACTTTGATTCTAGCATAGGAATTGTTTGGGAAAGTGACTATGTTTGTAACATCAAATCCAGCTACAAATTCCCCATGTTCATTGAACATAATTTCATCTCCAGCAGTGTTGTTGAGTGGGTTGTTCCTAAGCAATGAATGGAGCTACACGAGGAGAGAAATATAACAGAGAGCCCCATAAGAGACAGAATATTCTCAGCAAGATATACACAAACCATTTCCAGCTCATGCTAAGCATATCTGCTCAGAAATATATCCTAGTAAATTAAAGGTAAAGGTAAAGGTAAAGGGAATCCTGACCATTAGGTCTAGTCGCGGCTGACTCTGGGGTTGCGGCACTCATCTCGCTTTATTGGCCGAGGGATCTGGCATACAGCTTCCGGGTCATGTGGGCAGCATGACTAAGCCGCTTCTGGTGAACCAGAGCAGCACACGGAAACGCCATTTACCTTCCCGCTGGAGTGGTACATATTTATCTACTTGCACTTTGACATGCTTTCGAACTGCTAGGTTGGCAGGAGCAGGGACCGAGCAACGGGAGCTCACCCCGTCATCACGGGGATTCAAACCTCTGACCTTCTGATCAGCAATTCCTAGGCTCTGTGGTTTAACCAACAGCACCACCCGCGTCCTTTGCGCCACCCGCATAAATTAATTAACATAGTAAATTAAAAAAAAAGGTAAAGGTACCCCTGCCCGTACGGGCCAGTCTTGACAGACTCTAGGGTTGTGCGCTCATCTCACTCTATAGGCCGGGAGCCAGCGTTGTCCGCAGACATTTCCGGGTCACGTGGCCAGCGTGACAAGCTGCATCTGGCGAGCCAGAGCCGCACACGGAACGCCGTTTACCTTCCCGCTGGTAAGCGGTCCCTATTTATCTACTTGCACCCGGGGTGCTTTCGAACTGCTAGGTTGGCAGGTGCTGGGACTGAGCAATGGGAGCGCACCCCACCGCGGGGATTCGAACTGCCGACCATGCGATCGGCAAGTCCTAGGTGATGAGGTTTTACCCATAGTGCCACCCGTGTCCCTAGTAAATTAATTGGGGCTAATTCAATTTCCTTAGGTAAGAACAAAGTAATACACAATAGATGGTTTTTCCCCGGTCTGAGAGCTGTGTCATTTTGTGGGAACACCTTCCTGGGGATACGTTGCCAGTGGCAGGAAGGCTAGGAGGCAAAAGTGGGCATACGCAAAGCAGTTTACAAAAAGATGAGACAAGGAAATCAAGGAAAAATTACTGCCCAACTTTAAAACACACTAAAGTTAAAATACTGAAACTTTAAAACACACTAAAGTTAAAATAAGGGACGCGGGTGGCGCTGTGGGCAAAAGCCTCAGCGCCTAGGGCTTGCCGATCGAAAGGTCGGCGGTTCGAATCCCCGCGGCGGGGTGCGCTCCCATTGCTCGGTCCCAGCGCCTGCCAACCTAGCAGTTCGAAAGGACTCCCGGGTGCAAATAGATAAATAGGGACCGCTCCAACAGGAAGGTAAACGGCGTTTCCGTGTGCGGCTCTGGCTTGTCAGAGCAGCGATGTCACGCTGGCCACGTGACCCGGAAGTGTCTCCGGACAGCGCTGGCCCCCGGCCTCTAGAGTGAGATGGGCGCACAACCCTAGAGTCTGTCAAGACTGGCCCGTACAGGCAGGGGTACCTTTACCTTTACCTTTAAAGTTAAAATACTGAAACAGATTCAAATTACCTTAACTTTCTAAGCATCTGAGCAGGTTTGTCTAAACTAGGCATGTCCAAAGTCCGTTTCGGGGGCCTAATCCAGCCCGCCAGCCAGTTTAATCTAGCCCCTCTGGCAGATTATTTCCTGGGGTAAAATCCTAAAAAAACCCTTAACAACTTCAATCCTAAAAGAAGCTTGACAACTCCAACCCCCCAAAAAGGTCAACAACTTTGGTTGGCCCTTCGGTGGGCCCCCACGGCCCTTCACTTCATCACATCTGGCCCTCTTTGGAAAAAGTTTGGACACCACTGGTCTAAACAATATATGGAAACTACAGAAAGGAAATTGATGTGATGAGTCTGACTAGCTGCTTGGACCTATTTTTTGAAGAGAGCTCAAAACGAAATCCATGCATACTATTCTGTGTGCCACTATAATGCTCTAGCCCAAGTCATAGATGTTTGTGAGTGAGGAGTCATTTACCTGCCAGGGCTCCACTTGCCAAGAATGCAGCTTGCCTCTACTCTCATTTTTTCTGTGGTTGGAGCTAGCTGAGTATTTGGCACGCAAGGCATGGACTACAGCATAAACAGCATTATAGATACTATAGCTATGGCCTGTCATCTTCAACTGAAAAAATTGTGCAGGAAGGTTCTCCAGCTTCTCCTCACCAGTACATGCTCCATCAATATCTATAGAGCCACCAGAATTTGGAACAAAGCAGTCAAATGCTTGCTCCCAGAAATCTTTGATAAAGCCATCCCCTTTTGATTGGGTAGGACTCACACTCTGAACAAATGTTTGGAAACCTGGAATGTCTTTTGAAGGAATTGTGAAGGAGATGGCTCCGTGGAACACCTGGATATCCCAGTTTCTTTGGAATAGAAAGAGTGCTAAATCAATCTGGGCTGTCGTAATCCATACTTTCCCAAAAGGTGCCTTTGCATTGTAGTAAAGATTGCCAGCAAGCGACTCTTTGATCCCAAAGATAATGGCAGCCAACCACCTGAGGTTTGACGTTTTCCCATATATAACGATTGCATTGGCTTTGCTGTCCCTAAAAATAGGAATACTTTCCAATATGTATTTGTTCATATCGCCCATTTCCAATATACGGATATTAGCTGGAACTTTGTTGGTGAAGGCTGAGCAGATGCCGTTCTCGGAAAGCATGGCTTCTATAGTCTGCAGGAAATGCTGTCCCCCATCATCATCAAAACTCATCAAACCAATCCATTTCCATTTGAAATGCAGAAGTAACTGGACAATTCCTTGGTACTGAAGAGATTCATTGGGAACCATGCGGTAAAAGGAGGGGAACCCAATGTGATCATTCACTGCTGGATGAAATGAGCCATAAGAAAACTAAAATATAAAAAAGTAATAGACAGGTAGTTATCTGAAGACTCTGTAAGGAATCATTGCTGTCCAACACTTATCATTTCATGGTTTTATTCTTGCAATAAAATTCTAGATGCATATTTTTTATTATTTCCAAGACCAGAGTCAGTAGTTGGAATTGCACCCAGAAACAAATATGGATGCAATGTTCCATTCTACGTAGTGTGCACCTCTAAACAAACATCAGACTGGTGTCCAGCCTGTGAGTTCTGTATATTTCTTCAATAGCAGTCCCAATGACCGCTCCCCACTTAAAACGGGGGGCGCCCTTTGCGCGGGCGCGTGCAGCCCCTAGATCTGGAGCGCCCCAACAGCATAGGCTTGGCTTTGCCTTCCCTCAGGTGGGATACCTGGAGGTCTCCGCCTACCTCAGTCAGTTGTCCAATCCCACCTGGGGGAAGCGTTGCCAAGGAGACCAGGCCAGGTAGGGGAGGGATTACCTGCCCACACAATAGAGGGAGGATCTTACCTAGGAATCCTCACTTGGCTCCAGAGCTTCTCCACCCTACCCACCCTCAGTTAATGTCTTATTTTGCAGGTTAACTTTTCTTCACAGGTTTTGCAGGTTAACGTTTCTTCACAGGTATGCGGGCGCTGCTACGCTAAGGTCGCTGTTAAAGGGCCGGAAAGGAATTTCCCTGCATTGGCAGGTTTCGCCTTTCCCGTAGCAAAACGTCACAACTTTGGCGGTATCAGGCCTTGGGCGGAATCCTTTTGTCCATCTTCCTCTTGCGGCGGCGATACCAGGGTTCCCCGTTAAAGGGGTTTTCTGAAGGGAGGCTTTGGCCGTACACCGAAAGGTCGTCATTGCTCTCTCCTGCGGCGGCGGCGTTACGGGGGCGGCCATCTCTGCTTGAACATATGTTCTCCAGAGCCGGCCCATCCCCCACACACACACTGGATAACCCTGATGCTCCCTAGGTCCCCGGCTGGGACCAGGGAGGGAGAACGCCCAATGCCTGAGCCAAGGTCTACCCACATTTGAAATTTAATAAAGTTGTGGCCAATTTAATCCCATAGCACGTTGTCTTGAGTCGTTATTCCACATGACAGGGGGGCCGTGCAGGATCTGGGGACTCCGCCTGTCCGCGCAAACAGATTTTATTGCAATAATCTACTCAGGAAATTATGAAAGCATGAAGGAGAGTGGCAAGCAGCCAAGAGAGCTAGAGAGTTCTTGGAGCGGGGGGTGGAATACCACCTGGGCATTCAGAATCAGACTTCTTGCCATGTTACCTCCAAGGTGAGGCAGGCAGGCTATTCTAATAAGACTGTCCTCCAGCTCCATGATCAGTTTAACTACCCTACCACCTTCCCCATCTTCCATGATTTCATGTATTTATTGACCTCAATCCATCCTCTTACTCACAACACGCATTTTCTGAGGGCATCTGTAGGAGAGTTTTGTTATTAGTGATTGTTGTTTACGGATTGTGCTTCTGATAGATTCTGGTTTACTTGTTGGCATCCATCTTCCTTGAGAGACAAGGAGTTGAAGCCAAACCACTGTGTTAGCAACACCAAAGTGACCTCCCCAGGGTGCAAGCCTGGGCAGTGTATATGGAGGGCCTGGGCTGCCTAGATGACAAGTCCCCCCTCTTGGCCATGCTGTTGTGGTCCAAAGGAAAGCAGAGCAAGATGTTTTTGTTTGTTTGTTTATTTGTTTTGAATATGGGCTACCTTCCCAGGTTGACAATCCCCATCTGCCCCTTTATTTACTAGTTTTATTATAAACCATTGCACGGCCTGTGCAAAAAATGGAATATAAATCTAAAAATAAAATATTCATCATTTTGAAAATACTTCCCCATGAACTCCTCACCTGTGGAATCTTGTAACGTCCCAAGACATCTGCCATCTGTGAGGAGGTATCAGACCGAAGTCCACCAATGACTCCCATTAGGTGTGTTCTGCTGCCACATTTGTAATTTGGGAGAAAATGGGGTGATTTGAAGAGCAGTTCCAGAGTGGTACGGTAGGTCATCCTTGCATTGTAGTAGCTATCATCAATGTGCAACCCAATAGTGGTGTTGTGCAAGGGAAACTCATTGATCTCTTTTATGGCGAATGCCAAGGCCAGGATGTGCTGATAAAACTTTGGGACCATCCTGCAAAATAGAGAAACACATGCTCATCATGAAAGGGAGAAATCAACATGTTATCCATGTAGTGTTCAACTCTAACTCGCCGGTGCTGAGCTGCAGATACATGAAGGTGAGATCCATCAAATATAGTTTCCCAAATGATACATTCTCTTGCCATCGATACAAAGTGTTTACCTGTTCATGAGAGCTGGCAAATTGCTTTGGTCCAGGAGCCAGATTGCCCAAATGGAACCATTTTTGTTGGGGTGGGGTTGTGTGACACATACCACAAATGGTTGAGGCAACGCCCTCCTACAATTCAACATTCTCAACCCAGAGAGTATTTTCATTTTCATCATAGATTTTTGTTACTGAAAAGTTTGAAGAAGCAAAGAAACCAACACTCTTCACCAGAGCTGGTCCAGCAGAAAAATTGGGGGGGGGCAATGATATACAAGTCCATTCTTACAACTGTAGAAAACCTCAAACTTCCTGATGAAATTTCATTCTGAAAAGTTCTGTGCCAGTAGTTGCAAAATGCATGGGCAACTTTTTAAAAAATATGTACAAGAAACACGAGTCTGCTGAAACATTTCCCCTCTGTTTTTACTTTATTTCAACAGATCTTCCTGAAGAAGCCACAATTTTAAAAACAAATGAAACAAATCTGGAAGCAAATAAATGAATAGGTATCATAGCCATCCCATACATGATTTAGCTTATATGACACAACCGGAGTAGAGTGAAATTGTCTTTTAGAAATTTAATGACTCAAAGGTCCTGTTATTAATGCCCTTTATTGTTGTGTACTTCATTAATTTGAAAGGAACTTAATTTGGAGACAGTAGCAAAATACATGAAATCTATAAGCACAGTTTTGCAATCTCCAACATCTACTCCCTTCCCCCTGAAAATATCCTGTGAAGTTTGGAAGACAGTGAGAAGGTGGTGTCTGTTCATTGACAGTTCTTGCTGATAAAGGGCACCATCACTTTATTCGTTCCATTGTGTTCTTAGAACATTTTTGGTTGGTTGGTTGGTGGTTTTGGAAATCCTAATCCAAAAGATACATTTCTTTAAAACTGTTTTAGCTTATTGTTTACTTTACTTAGCTTTGAATGTTTTTAAATATCTGTTTTAAGTGATTTTAAATACAATTTTAATGTTCATTTTCTGTATTTTATTAAAATCAAACAGTATATAAATTTTGAATGAAAAAAATGTCAGGTACCAACAGCAAATGCATTTATTAATACCTTTCTATTTTATCTGATTCAAAATTTTAAGACACACCTATTTACCCTGACCTTTGACAACTGAAACAGAGATTCTTGTGACTGTAATTTATTTTAATCTGTTTAATGTTTTTTTTTAAAAAAAAATGCAACCTGCCTTGGATCCTTAGAGTAAAAGATGAGTCAGAAATCTACCCAATTAATCATTCATAGACATACAAACGTAAATAAAAGCCAAAATAAAAGCCAACCTCTCTTCAAGGGTGCATGGGAAAAATAATTTCTTACAGATGGGCATTAATCTCTTCCTCTGAAGGGTGCATCTGGAAAGAAAGTTCAGATAAAAGGAAGATGAGATGAGACATTATTCCGCCAATGATTATTTTGCTTGGCTGATACCATTCCTGTGAAATGTGCCCAGGATTATTTCCTTTGCATTGATAATCTAATACTTTGCAGGTCATACGAGGTAGCAATAGCAACAGTAGCATAACAATGCTCATCTTCCTGATGGAGTGAGAGCCAGATGTAATTTCCTCCACACACTCTACAGCATGGCTAACCTTGCAAGCCTAGTTTGAACAAGATGACTTAGATGGCTGCCTGCTCTGAAAAGATATATCATTTGACCTATGTCCAGCTTATATTTAATATTTAGCAGGTGAACAAAGCATGTCTTGAATGCCAGTTGGGAACCTGACCTACACAACTCAAAGGTGGAACTATCTGCATTCAATTTCTGCCCGTCTCAAGTCCCTAACTGTATCTGGCAATGGCACAGTGTGGTTATAAAATCATATCAATATGAGTTGTTTTTTTGAGGGGGGTTGCCTGTTGTCTTCTGGAAAGCCACAGAGCTTTGGCCAGCTGAATCAAACATAGTAATTTGGATAATTACAGAGGAAATAATCAGTATAGCAAAATATTTGTGCGGTGGATGGCATCATCCATAGCAGGCCGGCTGATGCAAAAATACTTGTGGAAATGTCACTCAGCCCTAGTGGGACAGCAACTGAGCAGTGAGTTGAGGATGGCCTATAGCAACCTCGATGATGGAATTAGTCTGCCACAATTTATTGTTTGTACTAGAATTGGCAATGGTACAATTTGCCTCCTCTTCTCCACTGACTTTATAGTGAATTACAGTGGTACCTCAGGTTACATACGCTTCAGGTTACATACGCTTCAGGTTACAGACTCCGCTAACCCAGAAATAGTGCTTCAGGTTAAGAACTTTGCTTCAGGATGAGAACAGAAATTGTGCTCTGGCGGCAGCGGGAGGCCCCATTAGCTAAAGTGGTGCTTCAGGTTAAGAACAGTTTCAGGTTAAGAATAGACCTCCGGAATGAATTAAGTACTTAGAATCATAGAATCATAGAGTTGGAAGAGACCACAAGGGCCATCGAGTCCAACCCCCTGCCAAGCAGGAAACACCATCAGAGCACTCCTGACATATGGTTGTCAAGCCTCTGCTTAAAGACCTCCAAAGAAGGAGACTCCACCACACTCCTTGGCAGCAAATTCCACTGTCCAACAGCTCTTACTGTCAGGAAGTTCTTCCTAATGTTTAGGTGGAATCTTCTTTCTTGTAGTTTGGATCCATTGCTCCGTGTCCGCTTCTCTGGAGCAGCAGAAAACAACCTTTCTCCCTCCTCTATGTGACATCCTTTTATATATTTGAACATGGCTATCATATCACCCCTTAACCTCCTCTTCTCCAGGCTAAACATGCCCAGCTCCCTTAGCCGTTCCTCATAAGGCATCGTTTCCAGGCCTTTGACCATTTTGGTTGCCCTCCTCTGGACACGTTCCAGTTTGTCAGTGTCCTTCTTGAACTGTACTTAACCAGAGGTACCACTGTACAGTTATCTCTGTGATGTGTAACCTAAATGATTCCTCACTCTATGCTTGCTCCTAAGTTCCCACTGCACAGTTCAAAACAAATCATTGTTTCAGATTAACATATAAGCAACGGAGGCTTCTAGGATTTTATTAGGAAGACTTTGCAGGTCAGTTTTATAATAAAAGTAAAGAAGCTGAGGGCCAAAACCTGAGGGCGATATCGCTGATTAGGTTCATATTTGCAACTACTCAGAGGACACTGGTGGCTTTATATGAAAGACAGGGTAAATATTTCTATTTCTTTTCTTTTCTGGGGTGACCTCCTTCACTGAGTCCTTTCATGTTTTGAGATTAGCAACCTGATTTGTACCAATGCAAAATCACGAATCAAGTGTGCGATATTGGCCCATCAAGGAACAATGAACTGGGAGTCAATTCAACCACTGGTCCTGTTAGCTAGGGATCATGGGAGTTGTTGGCCAAAAACATCTGGAGGCCTGAGTTTGAGGAAGCCTGATTTAAGTTTATGAAATAAACAAACAAACAAATAATAAATCTTAATGTCACAGGTACAGTAGTTATGGCTGGATATCATCATGGCAGAACCACATACTTACTAGATGGACAAGTAACTGAACAAGTGAGAAAAGTCAAACTATATTTTTATATTAGTTTATAAACCAGGCTTCCTCAACCTCAGCCGTCCAGATATTTTGAGACTACAATTCCCATCATCCCTGACCACTGGTCCTGCTAGCTAGGGATCATGGGAGCTGTAGGCCAAAAACATCTGGAGGGCTGAGGTTGAGGAAGCCTGTTGTAAACTCTCTCTCCCTCTCCATAAACCAGTCCTTTCTCTCTCTCAGGAGCCAATCGGAGCACACTGGGCTTCTCTCTCTCTCTCTCTCTCTCTCTCTCTCTCTCTTGACCAAAATCAATCCTATGATTGACCAGTCGATTGTGATTGACACGTTGGACATACCTGATTTAGGAGACTAGGCTAGTTCCACCAGTGACCCAGGGGTCAGCAAACTTTTTCAACAGGGGGCTGGCCCACTGTTCCTCAGACCTTGTGGGGGGTTGGACTATATTTTGAAGAAGAAAAATATGAATGAATTCCTATGCCCCACAAACAAACCAGAGATGTATTTAAAATAAAAGGACACATTCTACTCATGCTGATTCCAGGACTAGTGTGAATTCAACCAACCATTTATATTAAAAAGTAAAGTGAGAAAAATAGCAACCCAGAACATTCTTGCTCATTTAATGTGTTGTTGTTGTGCTGTTTAGCCAAAAGGAAGTTATAGCAGTTTTCCATTTTTCAAAGCAAAACACCTTTGGCCACCCCTGTGCTTATTTTATGGGGTCATGCATGAAAAACATTATGGGTTTTGACTGAATAGTATTGCTGTGAATATTTCAGTGGTTCATTTATGTATTTATCTGATTTTATTTCTATTCAAGATCTTCTCTATTTTGGTATCAATATATTGCAACTTGGAATGCAATCCTATGGCTTCTGGGAAGGTGTCTTGGGGTCATAGGATGCAATGGACTTCAGAGCTGAAGAATGCTCCAGCCATTCTAGCATCATTCATGGTCCTGGTCCTACTGATGATGGAAGTCTGGCATCAATAGGGCCCAAAATAAGTAATACTGAAGGCTTGTGAAGGAGCTGAAAAGAACTTCTGAGCAAATGGTCCAATCCTGCAGGGTGCTGCTTTGTAAGAACCTTCACTGGGTGGAGGCTACTTGCAAAGGAGCTCCTGGCATAATTGAATCAGCCACTCTTCAGTTTGTGAGCAGGAGATTCCTGCTGGGGCATGTTTCCCCTGGGTCTTTCCTGAGAGGGAACATCCTGGTACTGCCTGCCTCTGCTTCCTGCCTGATGCCCCACTCTGACAGTTCCAGATCACTCCAGGAGGTGGTTGTTCACCAAAGAGTGTTGATCTGGGGTTGTCTCCAACTGACTTAGGCAAAGCCAGATTCCACCCAAATTGGCATGGTTTGGTTTGTGGTTCAGGCTGCAGCTGAATCCTGTGCACAGCCCCAGCAGTTTGTACCTTGTGTAAAATACTACACAATTTCAACACCAGGCCATTTCAACCTGCCACATCTTTTCTGGTATTTTATCTTGCATCTTTCCCCCCAGCATTGTTTACGACCCACTGCAAACCTTTGTGTCTCTTGCTATTCCACTGCAGTGAATCGGTGGAACTTTCTACAGACATGTGGTCAACATATTGTTTTCTGCTACGTTGCCTCCAGTGCCTGACTCTTCACCTGCAGTTATCTTCTCTGTAATTATTCCAAATTAAACATAATTGATTTGACTTCTTACTCGTGTCCCAGAGGGGTCCTGGTAGAATTGTGAAACAAGACAGAAGGATGTCATTAGCACATCCAGGTCTATTCTGAGTTGAGACTTGGTTCTAGACACAGCACAATATAAATCCGATGACTGTCACTTCATCTCAGTTTCTAACCATGAAAAATCACACTGAATGTTTGGTCATTCAAGTTAACCTGTTTTGTACTCAAGGACATTTGGTAGATAATGTGGAACAGGTGAAGATTTCAAGAAAGAATGCTGCTGTACAGTATGTTGTTATTTATAGTGTTGGGAATACTGCTCCTGCCTAAAACAGTGAGCAGGATTCCTGCTGCTAAATGTACAGTGAGTGCGCCTGTTCCTATTCTTCACAGATATTATCAGTCAGGAGAGCTGACAGTTGCTGGTATAATTTCTCAGATCTACATCTTGTACGACCCGATCAAATTCCAAGGGCATCCATATCAGGAGCTGATTGGGGAGTTCATGTAAGAAGCTGAGAATGTTCACTATGCCATACTTCTGCCTGACTAATACTTCCAGGTGGTGTGGACTGATGTTTGCTAAAATAGGGTTGGGTTATTTATTGATAAATTTTAATATGTCGGGATAATAAATTGCTTAATGAAAGAAAGCTCTATGCAGTGAACATAAATTAACATAAAACAATCATAAATGATATACAAAACCTCAGCAATTTTAAAAATAAATAAAAAGTATGAATAACTAAATTATACTGCACAGGTAAAGGTAAAGGGACCCCTGACCATTAGGTCCAGATGACTCTGTGGTTGCGGCGCTCATCTCACTTTATTGAATTCTTCTCTTTTCAGAAGATCACCCCCCTTCTGACTGAAATGAGATCCAAGTAGAATGTATCTTCACACCACTACTTCTCCTGTCCCCAATTCAGCTTCCAAGTTTTCTCTTGCCTGAAACACTTAAAATACACCCATCACTGTCTTTTGATCTAAGCTCAGAGGCTTAACACCAAGAGCACAACTATCAACTCTCCCTTTTCCCTCCCCAATTGCTGACTCCAGCTAGCAGTAATCTACAGCCAATCATGAAGAGGCTCCAGTCCCCGTTTGGAATCCCACTGCACTGCATCACCAGACTCTGGTCCAGCTGAGCTTTCCATCACAACATATTGAACAGAAATGTAGCAAATATCTCTTGCAGTTGCTA